AAAATAGTGAGACCTCTCAAACTCTTCTGTCAAGCACAGTATGAAATAATATACCAGTACCACCTGCCAACAAGTCGCCTATTCTGAAGAGAAGAAGGGGAAAAAGTACTATCAATATAAAGATTTCAAGATCTATGTTTAGCATTTTAAACACTGCAAACAAAGCTATCACCAGCTATGCACAGAAAAATATTTGTTTCTAATTTGGAATACACTCATTATTCATCTCCAAAGGACAGGGGGTGAGATAAGTTGAGACCAAAATAGAAAAGTTAATATGACTCAAATAAGTATTTTTTAGTATGATTCCCATTTCATTTTAATGAAACAAACAAAAAATCTTAAATCAGAAATCTCCAAGCCATCCTTTTTCAATGTTGTACCTAAGTTGCAAGATAACTTATCACAAATGCATGTAACGTAAGTTCTGAAGGTCACAAAGGACTCAACATAGTGAGTCCAAGATAGAGACATGAATGTTTATGCTGATTAAGCCTACTAACAGTAGCTCTATCAGCTGTGCTTAATTTGATACTTGGCCAGAGTGTAAAGAAATATTAGCAACCCTGAAAACCCTCAAGTCAAGGGCAAGAAGACTCCAATCACAACTCTGCTTCCTCTCATTAAAACAAACAACTCTTCACCTCCCAGCATTTGCAGTCTCTCCACAATTGCTTCTGATTGAAACAAGGTCCACCAATACCAAGTCTCCTATGATCCACCAGTACATATCCCTAACCTGTGATTTTATTTCCAAAGATTATTCCTGCAGGTGAATGCAGAGGCTTCTGTTTCTGAATTTGTAAGTCCCTTTTTCATCAATCTCTGGCCTGTCAGGGTTAGACCATTTTAAATCATGTACAACTAGTATATACTGTACAGTACATGAATTCAAATCTAAGTGTTTAGGAATCCTGATGCTGAAAGGCCAATGAAGCAGAGTGCAACCAAGTCCAATGTAACAATGAGTACCAGGTTCTGTGACTTGGAGGAGAAGCAAACAGGACTGATACGAATTTAAATATATCAACACACTCAGGGTTTCACTGGCTCACAAGGAGCATATTCAACCACATTTATGATGGGTTTAATCATCCATAACAGCAGTTCAGAACAGATATATTACAAAGTTCATTTGTGACAAAATATGATGTCTTTTTCCTTTTCAAATTCAGGAACCACCATTGTTCATTTCATCACTAGGTGTAGGTTTATCCTCAATAATAGATTAGAAACTCCAGCAGGTGCACAATATGACAACCCTTCTTGTGCACAGGAGTGGGAAACTTTGTACTGGAGCCATGCATCCTCAAGAATAGGCTTCTGCCATACAAACATGCCAGAACTTAAAGATCAGTTTCCTGACTCATCAACGCAATGAAATCAGACAGACTGAGGCATAGACAAGATCTGGAGACACCAAAACTTTCACATACCACTCCAAATAATTTTTACCTGATTCCCTTCTTTCCATCTTCTGCTATGCTATGACAACATTTTTATTTCATGAGGATTTTTTTTACACTTGTCACTGTAGGTTAACTATAACAGATAACACTGTTTTGTCAATATTGTTCTATTTTTCTCTTCAAGTCACCTTGTTTTTATGTTTTTATTGAACACGTGCTTTTGTTTTTTTTTCACCTGCTGCTCCAAGAGCATTTGTATGGGAAAGCAGGAGAACAACTCTAGTGCTCCAGCATCACTAGAGGCTTCACATTTTCTTGTTGTACAATTTTCTATAGTTTTGTTTGAACAGTAGTGGTCTTTATAGTACTCGGTTGTCTAAATGATTCCTCCATGAATCAGGAGCAGCCAAGAGCTCTCTCTGAAATGCAGCGACCATGTAAACATCTAAATAAGAACAGTAAATAGTATGAATTCTGTCCAATGTGAAGGCACTTTTGCTCCTGGTATAGGGAAACCCACAAGGATTTTTCCAAACACCAAGAGACCCTTTCATTCAGCCAAGTGATTCATGACCAAGAAGAATGGTTCAATAATCCTAAATGTCACAATTAAACCTGATGAAGCCATCTTCTGAAGCAGTGGTTCCCAACATTGAGTTCCCAAATGTTCCTGGATTTAAACTCCCAGAAGTCTTCGCCGCTAGGTGTGCTGGCCAGAATTTCTGGGAAATGTACTCCAAGAACATATTGGGAACCACTGCTCTAGAAAGTGATGGATTTGAAGATTTTAAGCCAGTTTTGAAGTTGCGTAGGTGGGTGATCTCTCTTCTGGGAGATCAGGAAAAGTGTAGCAACACAATTTGCACTGTCTTGTTTTTAAACACAACTTTCTAATCTGTTGAATTTGGAATACAGATCAGGAATTGCTGTTTTAACAACAATCCCAACTGTGGAATACATTCCACACATCAGCATGACAAGCCAAAACTATAATAGCTGATACAATGTCCAAAATATTTTGTATTTGCCCACACAATATTAAGTGGCTGCTTTCCTGCATCTATTGCTTTTCTCTGTTTATTTTATTTTTAAGTGGGTTTATTGATTTTATTTTATTTGTAAATCACTCAGTGTTCTGAAAGAATGAATAGTTTAGAAACAATTTTTAAAATAAATTAATATAATAACTTAAGGGCATAAGCTAAGGTATATTCTGATAATTGAAAAAAAATTAACTTGTGTCTTTCTAGAATTCCTGTTATGTCCCCCTTTAGACATATGAAGTTGCTGTAAAAACAAAGCAAAGCACTGCTACACATACTATGCTAGGTACCAAAACATTTTAAAACCAAAGTTTATTAACATATTTTAAAAGACAGAATATCAGGAATTCAGCAGTCAACAAAACCAAAATATTCAGTAAAGATGCAGAAAAAGAACAATTCAATTTAAATCCTTGGTGAATAGCAATGCTTCAATACATGGCCTAGTCTCACAAATCTCTCTCTGCAGATGGTAATTAGGCATGGAAGGTTTTGTATAACAGAAGTTCTTTTTCTTCATTTTAGGCCACTGAAATGCCAAATCAAAAAACCCATGGGTATTTTGAGCAAATTATCTAACTAATAATTTGTACATGATTGTACAAAATGCTGTTCTACCTATACGGAAAGGCCCAGTTTTATGCATTTGCAATTGAATGAATTTTGCACAGACCATTTCTGAAACTCCTGACATAACAGAAACCCTTTTATTTCCTTAAAGTCACAGGGATGATGACTTAAAGAAAAAGAAACACCAAAAACTAAAGAATCTGTGAAACAGGTTCAAATTTGACCAAGATGCAAGCCTTTTAGAAATTTATGTCAGTGCTGATCACTGGAAGGAATTTATCTGCATCTTAACCTAAAGCACATACACTGTGCACAGGCAACAGGTAAGAGCCACAGTCTACATAATATGTGTGCTAAGCAAACACTGGCATCACCCAGGTAAGTATAAAGTTCAAGCCCCTTCTGTTCACTATGCTAAAAAAGCACTGTCACCGCAGTACTCTTCTCAAAGCAGTGATTCAAAGGATACAAAGTTAATGCTGCGTTTCCTTGGTTTCCTCTTAAAATGAAAAACGGCCTTTTCTAGCAACTAGAGGGGGTCTTTTGTCTCAGATCAAGTTTCTACCATAAATTTTACTTAAATGAGAAGAGCCTTCTTTTCATTTGAAGAGGAATTTAATCCATGTAAGGACAGCCCAGCCCAGCCCATGCCCTGTTTGTGCAGTTCCAAGGATCAACAGTAACAGAAGAACCAGGTAACCTCTGGAGAAATGCAAGGTTAATCAGGCAGACTGGAAAGAGGATTGCTTTACTATATAGCATAGGTCACATTATCTAAGCTCAAGGCAGCCAGTGACATGCCACACAGAGAAAAGCAATACAGTAAGTGCAAAGTGTCCCAAATAATCAAGTACCTGGAAGCATATTTCTTAGAATTAGGACTGGGAAAAGCTACAAAGAATGGATTTTATTTTTAGTTTTAAAAAATAAGCAATAAAAATATGAAAATATGAGAAGCAGGAAGGATGGTATTAGAACAAAAAATGATTCCATATGTTGGTGGGAAATCTTTTTGCTACATTTTGCATTTTAAGTCACCAGTTACAGGGCATGTGGTTTTACCAAAACCAAACTACTGTTTCTGGAAGATAACTTCAAAGCGATAGCCTAACCACTACCCTTATTGCCTGGCCTCTGCTCCCGGGGCCCCAAAATCGAGTGGTTTTATTTACCTCCTTTGTTCCTACTCATTCCTTCCCAAGAATTTATTTGGTGGACGCAAAATGCTGAATAGTGGCTTTCATAGCATTCTTCAGTCTAACGGTTAGATCTACATTTCAGATATTTCAACAACCGAACGCAGCAGCCTGAATAACTTAGCAGCCAAAGTGGGAGGAGATGACTGGAAGATACGGACAAATACTAGGCATGGAAAACAAGCGAGCGACAACAGGAGCAACACGCCTTATGATACCGCCTCCCCGACTGAGCCAGCTTCGCTTTTACCACCCGTATGCCACAACTCACCTACCCGATTTGAGGTGACTGTTCCGAAATAACGGCCACCTCTTCTGATTTGATACCCTCAACCCGATCCCCTAAACCTGTTTTTAATTCCGATTCTGGGCCCGATTGTGTACCAAAAAGAAGCGTTAAGAGCCACCCAATTAAAGAGGGCTATCCGCCCAGCGCGGTTTTGCTCTATCGAGACCCGCCTTTCAAACTCCGCCGTCCACCACAGAGCCGCGGCGGTTCAGAAGGAAGGCGGCTCCCTCGCCCCACTTCATCCAAGCGGCTTAAGCGTGGGAAGGAGGGAAGAAGGCTCCGTTTTCCCCACCATATAAAAACAGCGTCCCCCCTAACTCCCGCCCCCCTTGTCTTTCCTCGCCCAGACTGCGGGACACCATTTTGCCCAACTGAAGGGACGCAGCAGCAGCTGCCGCCTCAACGGACTCTCAAGGGACGGGGGCCTTCCCCACCCTCGGCCAGGTCGGCGGGGGGGGGAGACCACGCCGCGCGGTGCCATGACCGCCCTTACCTCGTCCGCACAGCACCGTCCGTGCTGCAGCTGCGGCCGCTCCCTCGGCCTTCCGCGCCTCAACACCCGCCCCGTGGCACCACGAGGCGCGGCGCTTGTTTACCAACTCGCCTGCCCCCACAGCTTGAGGCCCGGCACCAAACCCCTCCCCTTCCCGCCTCCTATTGGCTCCGACGTAGCGGACACCTTCCTCTGCCTCTGGAACATTAGCGCGAAAGGTCACAGGAGGAGCGAGGCCGGGCCACAGGGAGCGTGCTGAGCTCGTGGGGGTCGCTCTTCGACCAATGAGGAGCCGGGGCGGAGAAAGCATCGGCCAATAGCAAGGCGCCTCTGCCGCCGTCCATGTTGCGTTGGGAGTTTGAGGATGTCTTGCATGGCGACGGACGGAGAAATGGACGTGCAGTAGCTAGAGCGGCGGAGGGGGGCGGGGTAAAGGCTTAGAGACTGGGGTGCGTGTGTATGTGCAGCGGGGCACGTTCGTGCATTGTTGCTGTCCGTCCGCTCCCCTCCTCCCACAAATCTTACGTATTTACAGAGAACTGGCGCTGGGATTCTCATGCTGTTTTTGCCCAAAGGCTGCCATTCCCAAAGTGTCATCTGCATGCGTAGCACCAAGTTACGTGACATGCCACAAATAGAACAGCCCAATTGAAGGGCATTTATGTTGGTGGATGTTTTAGGGAAATAAAGATCCTTCCGAAAACCATTTTTATAATAATCCCTCTTACTCCTTTAAACTTAGTGCAACGCCAGAACGTTTAATTTGGGAGGGGAATTGGTGTGGAAGGCAACGTGATCACGGTAATTCGAAATCCTAAAAGCGGTTTCTCAAAAAAAGTTTTTAAACTTCAAAGAGGATTATAGATTATTGCAAATGACACACACGGTTTACAAAATAATTGGTACACTGTTTCTTTTCGTAGCGTTACCGTTTCGAAGTGAATCGTACGCAAAGAACAGAACCTGCATTTCCCAGGTCGAGTCCAAAACTTGGGCAAAGGATCCCAACTCACATTATTTTCGTGGCTCCATGCCCTTGACCTGGAATCCTCTGTTCTCTGATAGGATCACTATTTACTTATAGCAATACTGCCGCCAATAGAATTATATTGGCTCTTTCTATCTTGGTACTTGCAAAGGTTCACTTTAAAACATAAATGTTAGGAGAAATCATTTCAACAATTCAGACTACAAAATAGAGTTATACTGGTTAGTTATTTATTTGTAACACAGCCTCCTTCCCCAAAAGCTCAAAGAGTGGTGTGTTTTCCAGCTCCTAGTAAGACTTTGCAATTAAGGCTGCAATCCTGTCCCTTCTCACTTCGGATAAGACCTATTGTACCCAATAGCACTTCCACATATGTCTACAAGATTTGACCAAGTCTTCACAGCTTTGTTAAATAATTAGAAAAGTGATAGCCTCTGAAAACTGACACGATATACTTCCATATGCTAAAGACCATTTCATCAAATACAAATCTAAGTGTGTAATCAAATAACATGTATAATTATAGTTATAACATGGTGTTCAGGATTGTACTAGTCATACAAGACATATTTTACATGCCCTGCTTTAAGAACAGATCCAAATGATCTGTATCCTGACATTCAAATTGTACTGTGTGCATTTCAGTAATCAGCTCTTCCCTATGGGTACTCTAACTGCTCCTATGCACAAAGTAATGGCCATGAGCCAGTTCCTTGTCTTTTGTTCAAGAGTCACTCCAGTCTAAGAAATAGAATGTTGACTGATAAACTAAGGCTGCTGCCCTACATACTCAGGACTTATTTTGCAGCAGATGTGGTTGGGTGTGCCCTACAATATTGCATACACAGTGACTTGGAAGTAAATGTCACTGAATTCTATAAGGCTTATGTCTGAGTAAACAGGTCTGTGATTGCATTGCAAAAGAGTATTCACTAGGAAATTTAAAACATGATCTATCTGATGTTTTATATCTGTGTTTATTATGATCTGAGAAAGGAAAAATAGCTACTGAATGCAAATAAGCATAAATGCTGCATTAATCTGGCAATCTGCTTTATAGAACTATGACACAGAAGCTGTGGCAACAGTCCTGATGGGGAAGAGGATGGTAAACAGAACAGCCTGTGCTTACACATTTCAGATGTGTTGCACTCTGTAGCTAATAATGTACCAGAAATGTAACTGTAATTAGCAATACGTATATATGTACGTGAAACAGTTGCAAATGGAGTCCAGTGTCCAACATATTGCAGGGAAATCTCCACATTAAAGAACATTGCCAGTTTGTGGCATCATTTATATTGGAAATATCTGCATTTATAGAATTATAGAGACAGTATAATTTTTAAAAATGAAGTTGACCATTTGAATATTTGTAATCCATTTGTATACAGCAAATCAAAACCTAAAGTACTTTCCAAGCAATTACCTTGGTGGTACTTTCAGAGCTAAACAGAACAGAACCTTGCTGGCTCTAGGGCCTAAATTCCAAATTAATAGAAAAGTGGCATTGGAATGAAGTAGTCCAAGAAGGCATTGTGTACCAAGTGAAGTTTTCTTTATATTTAGTAAAGTTTTAACACCTCAGTCTTGTGTAATGTGATCTTATACATGTTTACTAAGACATACTCATTGTATGAGTATGTGTATGAGTATGTGTAATCTTATACCTGTCTCAATAGATACACTTACTCCCTTGAGTCCAGCAGGGCTTGTTGTCAAACTTATTTATAGGATTACAGTTTAAAAGCATTGTGTAAGCATTATTCCTAGGCAAGGCCCAAGAAATCAGTAGGAAGTTTCATGTCAATAGACAATCTATAATTATTAAGCAGCAGCTGAAAATACTTTTTACACAAAATTTTTATATGGGCAAAATTCTGTTGTTTAGCATAGTAAATTGCAGTAGACTAGACCCATTGAATCAATGGGGATTTGATGAGTTAACTCCTCCATAAGTTCCATTGATTCAAAGGGGTCTACTCTAATTGTGACTTACTTTAGCATGGTAAAGTGTGTGTGTGGATGTGAGAGAGACAAAAATAGATTGCCAAAACCTTTAGAGCAAATTGAGCCTTTGTAAGAGTGGTGATTTCATGTTCCCAGAGTACCCAAAGAACAAAGGAATGGTAAGTCACTTCTGAGTACAGTATTCTATGCCTAGAAAAACCTAGAAAGTGTCACCATGAGAACCAACTTGACAGCATGTAAGCATTATTCCACTCTTTCTCTGTATCCAATACATAATTTGAAGTTAATTCTTATTGTTTTATATAGCTGAACAGTTTTCTTTCCTCACAGTTGGAATAAGTATTATCCAAATGTCTTGTTCAAAGTGGATATTTTTCTTAACTTTTTACTGTGTTGAATTTGGACTTCAACTTTGTATTGCCTAAGAAAATTGACCCGAACAGTGGAGTTTTAATGGTGGGATTATTCTCTCTACTAATACTCATCAAACAACTTATAGAATATTAATTTCACCCATTTTTTTCAGTGTTTATATAAATTGTACAGTATACCCTCAGCTGTGGAACACATTTCCCACTGAAATTCGGCTGGCACCCTCGCTGGGTGTGTTCAAAAACCAACTAAAAACTTGTTTATTCAAACAGGCCTTCGTCCCAGTCACCTAAGTTCTTTCCTTTTCTTCTGGTTCTTAATTTTGCCATCTCGGATAGTATTAATTATACTAATTGCACTATGCTCATTATTTTACGTTGTTTTAATGTGTTTTAATCTTTGTAAGCTGCCCCAAGTAGACGTTGTATAGAGGGGCGGGGTAAAAATTGAATGAATGAATGAATGAATGAATGAATGAATGAATGAATGAATGAATAAATAAATAAATAAATAAATAAATAAATAAATAAATACTGTAAGAATTAGAGGTTTGAATATATTTAGTTGAGCAAATAAGCATATCACTCATTGAAACCTTGCTTTGTTTTTACTTGAAATAATCTTTGGATCTATGCACAATCATGTTTGGCATGAATGAACACAGCCAGGGAGGATTAACAGCACATCCCAAACAAACCTGAGCAATGGGTACAACAGTTCAACGGCTAAGGCAAAACAAGAATGTTACGATAAGTGTTCATGATTTGTGAGCGGTGGAAACCCTATAAAGCAATGGTCCCCAACCTGGTACCACAGCGGCTAAGGCAAAACAAGAATGTTATGATAAGTGTTCATGATTTGTGAGGGGTGGAAACCCTATAAAGTATGGCCCTTCAAGTATTTGAGGACCACAACATCCAGAATCTCTCTGCTGTCAAAGAGTGAGAAAAGTACAACAGCATCTAGGGGATCACAAGAGGCCACCTCTGCCATAACTCTAAAATACAGTACAGGGGCGGCTAAGGCAAAACAAGAATGTTATGATAAGTGTTCATGATTTGTGAGGGGTGGAAACCCTATAAAGTATGGCCCTTCAAGTATTTGAGGACCACAACATCCAGAATCTCTCTGCTGTCAAAGAGTGAGAAAAGTACAACAGCATCTAGGGGATCACAAGAGGCCACCTCTGCCATAACTCTAAAATACAGTACAGGGTTACTTCCACCATTTGTTGTATATATACTCATGTTGAATGATGGGAGATGGGCCCATATCATAAATTTATCTAGGAACAGTGAGAAAAACTGATATATGTACACTAGCTCTATGGGACTCAGAGATCATGATGTTCACGTTACAGAATTTGTATTGAAATTTCGTGTTTTAACTCACATGTACCAAGTCAGGGAAATTTTATTTTTATTTTATTATTATTAGATTTTTTTTATTCCACCCTTCTAGACTGCGTCTACTCAGGGCAGCTCACATCAAAATCATACATAAAAACAGTTAAAAAATAATTAAATCAACAATATTAATGTTAATCAAGATGGAAAAGTAAACAAAAGGCCAATCTGAAAGTAAAAGTCAAGTATTGGTAAGAGGGAAGGCCTGCCTAAACAGCCAAGTCTTTAATTGTCTGTTAAAGATACCCAGCGAGGGTGCCGGGCAGATCTCTGACAGCAGGCTATTCCAAAGTCAAGGTCAGGAAATTTTAGTCATCAAGAGTTACATTTTCTGGCAGAGTTCACACATTGCTAGGCCTGCACTGTAGGTATTATGTGGCATTGTCTCCGGAAGAGTGATAAATGATGTCTCCAAATTTTTAGCCATGTGTCTGTGTACAGTTGTGAATGTTTTTAACAGG